ATAACAATTACATACATCAACCTACATCGTGAAAATTATAATTAGTCACGATCAAGTAAAAAATCACTGATAAGCTAATTATGAATACTATTACTAATTTTACATCTACCAAAGGAACTACATAGGGACTATAGGAGTAAAATTTACAGTAAGTTGCAATTGTGACAGAATCAACATAAAGAAATACGAATATCAAAAACATCTAGAAAATTATGAATATAAGAGTAACATTAAAAAATGAACAACAGCAGTAGAGTCATTAGTACTGGTGTCATTTTGCAACAGCCACCATTTCCATCAAGGCAGTGACAAGTATGGCAATGACAAAAACAACATCCGAAAATAAACGACAGAGAATGACTGCATTTCTGTCATTAGTACCTTTGAAATGTTCGCAATAGTTATCATTCCAGCCACTGAACGCATCGCTCGCAAAAATAAACGTCCTATGCTGACAGAAACCATTTCGCGGACGGACGCTAATATGCAAATCAATTCAGACTCGTCGAAGAGGTAATTTGGCCAAGACAAAGGAAACCCGTCAGTCTGAAAATATATGTATGCTTCATGTCTTGCGGCTTTATTATGCAAAGAAAAGGTGAAATATCCTTGGGTTTCATTTTTGTCAGTTGTGATAATTGTTCGTGTATTTTTTTCAACGATTTTTTTTTGTTTAAAATAAACGTTAAAGTAAAATTCTAATGCAAGGCTATCTTTATACACATTTGATTAGACATCATAAATGCATACGCTGTGTTTCTCTCTTATATTCGAGCATTTGCATTAGCAGCAAAATCAATTTTTTGAACATGAAAAAAGTTTGAGAGTAAATTACACTTATTATTATCAGATATTTAGATACACTTTCCGTTAGGCATTCCTCACTCTTATCCATGCGTTTTAACAAGCAGAAAAAAACACATCTATAGATAATGAAAGCGAGTTCACGAATCTAATCAACCCTTTCATTTATTGCACTCTTGGCACGTTCCGATACGGCCGATCAGATCCATGACTGTTCCCTCCGCGGCGGACACGTGGGGGAAGGCTACGCACATAGAAAACGTCACCTTATAGATAAACATAACTTGTGCCACGCGTTTTTACAAAGTTTCGAAAGTTTTAACTGGAAAAACAACACTCCTTTTGTTCTTTCAACTGTGCGTACGAGGGTGACGAAGATGAAGGGAAAAAATATGTAGGCTATATGGTACGAAAGGAACAAAGGGGGAACGTTTTCAAATTGGTTCGTTACGTCTCTCTAAGTCAAGGGAGAGAGGGGGAGAAAAGAATAGGGGAAACACCTTAAGAATGTAGTAACACGGAACAATGGCAACAGCAGTATTTCTTCAAGTAAACACACCAAAATATCAAATCAAAAAGAAATCTACACCTCGTAGGAGAAAAGAAAGAGAACAATGATAAAAACGTAGATAAGGTTGAATCACGATCGTCCCAGAGATCTTCAACCCCCCTCTGCCCCCCGTGCCACTTACCCCCCTCCCCCAGCCGTTAGCTCCAGCAGGCCCCTTTCACCACAGCGAACACAGCCTCACTGCGGTAGTCAAACTGCTGCGGCCACCACACTACCCATGCCACACCACCTCCACCACCACCACCGCCACGCCACTCAGCGGGAGCCTGCGCTGTGGCGGTGTTGGCGTGATGTTGATGTGGTGCGTGATGAGCGGTGCTTGTAATCGTGGTGATGTGTAGTTCGTGATGTTTAGGATTGGCGGTGAGTGCTGATGTGGATTTATCAGTGCTGATGCTGCATGCGCCTTCTTAGCGTTGCATTACGGGATGTACTTCATATTGATGGGAAACGATTAGTTATTGTAGAGGCTTAGACGCTGTATTTTCGTGCTGGTGTCGAGAACGAACGCCGAATCGGCAAGGCGCCAATAAGAAAGAAGACAAGTAAATGGAACAAAGAACCAGTTCGTCCTCATGTCCATTAAGAAATTAAATCATACCCCTTCTTGTGAGGATAAAGGGTCTAAACAAATAGAAAAATGAGAACGACACAGCAAGCAACGTACCCTAACCTCATTTGTCC